CCAATATACTTAAATGAAATATATATATATATATATATATATATATGGGAGGCCTTGAACAATCAAATTAAAGCTCCCATAAAAAATTCACTAGAAGATGTTATGTTTAATGTGAAAAAATCCTTAAATTGATCATCTCAACCTTAAGATGTATGGACGTGAGAAAAATAGATTTCTAACTTTGGAAATAGTGCATTTTATAATTTTTTTTTTGGATTATCAATTTTCAATATTTTCAAGTGTTCACAGATCTGCTTGATCTACACTATTTTTTAAGTTTTAAATTATATAATTGGATATAAAAATAATATTTCAAGCCATCATAAATATTTCCGGTACTAAAATAATAGCTTTCGACCTTATTTGTAGGTACGCCTTCTTTTGATTGTCTAGGGCCTAGGCCCTATACAAACCACACCTATAAATAAATAAATATGTAAACAATTTGTATTATAGTTTGAAGCAATGTATTAGAAATTGGACATACGTTCGGAATTACTTGAGCTGACTCGGAACCAACGGATAATCGGTCCATGTCCAAGACCCCCCAATTTTGCCTAGTTCACATCTGATTTTTAATTCACTTATTTAAATAAAAAATCTCAAAGATCTGACAAGTTGGCTCAGGCAATTTTCAGCTGGAATTGGTGGGTGATAGGTTCGATCTAATGATTCCATATTAAAACAAAAAATAGTATGAGTCGGGGGACACATTTATACAGTTGTGTCCCCCGAGTATCAAACATCCATCTTTAAGATGGATGTAAATTTGTGGCCCCTCCTAAAAGAATAAAATCTAGCAGTTAAAAAATTTTCCCCAAAAGATTTTCCTTCTAGCTTTAATTTTTTTTTTTTTTACTAACGATCTTCTATTAGAGACTATAAATATCTAAAAAATTAGGTACAACTTCCATCTAAAAAATTTAGATAAAAAAAAAGGCAGCATATTTACATGTGAGTCCTAGGGCACATAGAAACCTTGTCTTTTTTTAAAAATACTGGTCATAATATTGCATTTTTTTCTATTTTTTACTGCCAAACAAAGAGGAGTTACTAGTAAAGCCCTTGTCTACGATGTAATGTAGGATATTTGGGGAGGTTAATTTGGTGACTTTCCAACGAACTCAACGTCGGAGGGCTCCACGTTTTAAAGCCGCGGGTCAAATCTCGCCAAGAAAGATATCGACCTCAGTAATTATGGATTTGGAAATAAATGAGTTTTTTAATTTTTTATTTTTTTTACCAATATTAATCAAATTTTATTGAAAATAAAGGATATTACGACGAAAGGACTACAACATCTATTTACCAAAAAAAAAAAGAAAAAACTACATCTTCTGCAACCATAGCCGAAGAAGTGGAAGCACCAAACTTAGCCAAGGAAGCAACCATAACCGAAGAAGAGGAAGTGCCAAATTTAGCCAAAGAATCAGCCACATCGCTCCCGATAAATATGGGCAGAAGATATTAGGAGATTATTCGATATATTTAAGATTTGCAGATATAACGATCTCAATTTTCGAGAGATTCGTATCTCTCTCTTGCACCAAATAATCACGTTATGTGAGTCATCTTCAACCACCAAAGCCGAACCCAAGTTTTTAGCCTTAAAAATCTTCAATCCCTCAAGTTCAACATGGTTAGCAGTTGTATCCCGAGCTGGTTCAGAAGTAGAAGATAACCTTCCTATTCAAATCCCGCACCACCTCACCAAACCCAGTCGGCCCATGATTACCCAAGAAACTACCGTCAAAGTTTAGTTTTAAGCCACCCAAGAGCTGTGGAGTCCAAAATGACTTCGGTCGACACCTCGTAAAATACAAATGATAAAGATTATTGAGGTTCAGAGATACATCGACTTCAAAAATGGCCAGGTCGTCAGGTACAACAAACACCCAACACCAAATGGAATGCTTGATTATGTTGAGAAGTCTATCAAATGGTAGACTGATCCCCTCATTTTTTTTCTTTTGTTCTTCTTTGTCCAAACCTCCCATAAGATTGCAGCTAAGGAAATTTGCCACACCCTCTAACTAGCCTTTGGGAGATGGGGAAAATTAAAGTTGGTAGCCACACCAAGCACACTTTGAGACATTGCCAAGGAAACCCCCACTCGAGCCATGAACTAGGACCAAATCCTTGTTGCCACAGAACAATGCATAAATAGATAGGCCCTGATTCACCATCCTCCTTACATATCAGATATATATTTGGGAGGATCTTACATCTATTGAAAAGATTATCCACAATTAAAACCTTATTTTGAACCGCCAAACAAAACAATATTTGGACTTTATGAGGTATCGGCCACTTCCAAAACGTGGCCACATGGGGTAAAAATGACCTAACCCGGTCATGAAAGAGAAGTAGGTAGAGAGATTTTACCTAGACCACTAGACTCAATATTCCATACTATCTCATCCTCAATTTCCCTATGAATAACGACCTTATTGAGCAAATTCCATGAGGGCAAAGTAGCTAGAAATAGTTGTTTCATTTATCATGCTGTAGCTAAAATTAATATTCCATACCACTCCATCTCCCCTAAAATCAACCAACTAAAAAATCTTGGCATTAGGCTGTATTATTTTGTCAAACACATCCGGGAATACCCATTTAAGTGGCATCTCCCCAACCCATTTTTGGTGCTAAAAGGAAATATTATTACCATCCCCAACATCCACCTAATATTACTAAGAATTGGACGCAAAAAAACTGAACGGCTTTGACTACCATTCCCACCCCCAATCCAAACCCCAAACCTATTCATTCCATATTTGTGAGCAAGGATTTGGAACCATATATGACCTCTAAGGGTAAGACTATGCCACTTCACTTTTAGGTGTGCATAATATATCCCATCGCAAATGATGAAATTTTTTATTCTCAACATTTGAAACCCACAAAAAATTTCTCATCATCTTCTCTATTTTTTTTAGTATTGAGGTCAGCATCTCTATAACAGACATCTAGTAGAGATAGGTAAATTTGCCAAGCGTGACTATAAAACAGTTACACTTCCTCCCAACGACAGGCATTTTAATTTCCATATATCAAGTTTTACTTGGACTCTATACAATACATAATTCTATACAGAGATGGATGCCCTCCCAACTGAAATAGGAATCCCCAAATAAATAAGAGGAAAAGAGCCCACTTTACAACACAATTTTTTTTTTTTTAAATAATTTATCTTGTAACACATTTCTGGACTATCTATTTTCTAATGCTCTCATACTTGCCAGAATTATAATATTTTTAGAGCTTCAAATTCATAATTAGATGCAAAAATATATTCTTATTGATGGTAAAAGTTTCTCACATCAAAACTATATTTTTCGATGACGTTTTAACATTGGATGCAGTTTCTAAAAGGCCTAGGCCTTATAAAAAACTCGAATCCTCATTTGAAAGTACTTTGAGCATCGAAATATTTTATGATGGCTCTAAAATCAATTTCCAACATTGACTATAAAATTTAAAGTTAAAAAAATAGTACAGATTTTGCAAATATATGAACATTTATTTTAAAGGCAAAATGGACCATCTAGATAATTTATTACAATTTATACTATTTTTAGATCTTGAAATCCTAATTTTTATCCACAACTGCAATGGTCAAGGCCGAGATGAAAGACACAAAGTTTGTTTGAAGCCAGAATTGCAATTTTTTTTGAGTTTTGAAATAAGGCTTTATTTATTTTGATAACAATACAACTCTATCAAAGCATTTTCCTGAGAATGGGGTTGGGGTCATCGTGGTAGCACTACTTGTGCCCCAGCTAAAGTCTAGGCTTCTATTATCACATAACATATTCAAAAACCACAAATGATTTAAAAAATGGATAGGGGCTCGTCATCCCCCCTGAATTACCTAAAAAAAAAAAAACCATTTTCCTTTAACATTACAGATACTCATCCCTCAAAAACTCTATTTTTCGATAAGTTTGTTATTGCACTAAAACATTGCTTTTGTTCCAAAAATTTGTTATCCCTCAAAACTCAAATGGCCTCATGTATTTAACAATATTTAGATATTAAAATATCTAAATATTAAAATAACAATGTATTTAAAATATCAATGTCTTTAACAATCCAAAAATTAAAATGTCAATGTATTTAACAATATTTAGACCTGGACTTGGACCCAATCCAAAATGTAAAATATCAATGTATTTAACAATATTTAGATATTACATATATTGGACCCCAATCAAGAAATTAGATATTACATATATTTAGGGGTACGGTTTGTATAGAGCCTATACTCTAAACAATCAAATTAAAGCCCATCTTCAAAAAGTGTCGAGAAATGCGGTTTCAATACTGGAAATCTTTGTGATAGCCTTCAAACATAATTTCATCTTTATTTATAAAGTTTAAAGCTTAAAAAATAATGTAGATCGACATATCTATGAAAACTTGAAAATCTTGAAAATTGACGGTCCAAAAACGCATTATAAAATACACTATTTCCAAAACTTGAAATCCGTTTTTTTCTCATATCCATACATCTTCGATGTCAAGATGATTAATTTGAGTATATTTGGGCATCAAAACAACATCTTCTAGTAAAAGTTTTGAGATAGGTTCAAATTTGATGGTTTAAAGCCTCAGCTTTATATAAACTTTTCCCTATATTTAGATATTTACATATATATTGGACCCCACCTGGACCTGGATCCAATCAAAAAATTAAAAAATCAATGTATTTAACAATATTTAAATATTACATAAATTGGGGCTCAAAATATATTGCAGGACCCAGACACAATCGGATCCGGACCAGGACCCAGACCAAGACCCAAATAGCATAGAGTTCCAAGGGGTTTGAATCCATTGCCACCCGTTACAGTATCTCGGCCAATAAGGGGTTACTTGAGGGTACTTTCGATATTTGAAAGAAGTAAAAGGCCTTTTACCAATTATCTCACTCCGTTGCGAAGAGAGACCGTTACCTCGAGACCCACGAACCCACTTTCGATATTCCAAACCAAATGATGGGCATTTATGTAACCTCTCACTAAATCTCTCTCTTTCTCTCCCTTCCTTGGATCGATCGCTCCGGACAAGACGTAGTAAACTAAGAACTCCACTTTCTCTGATACCCACCCTTTCTCTCTCCGACCCTCCCAGCTAGAATCTAGATACAGTCTCTTTCTCTCTCTAAAACTTAAATCCACATTTCTCTCTCTAGTCTCTCTCTATCTAGATTCTGAGCTACAGCTTAGAGCCTCTGCCTCTCTCTCTCTCCCTCTGTCCGAGCTCACCTCAAAATCGGAATCTCCTCTCTGTCTCTCTATCTAGGAGGCTATTGCCGGTCGCCGGGAAACTTCGAAACTCGCCGGGGAATCCGTCCTGTCAAACCGCCGGAAAACCCACCGATCCAGCTGCGAAAAACAGGAAATCTCAGGTGGGTTCTTTCTGCTTTCTCTCTCTAAAATCTCAGCGGGCTCTCTACCCCTCTAAAATATCTGGTGGGCTCTCTCTCTAATCTCAGGTGTCCTCTCTCGCCTTCTGAAATCTCAGGTGGGTTCTCTCTTTCATAACGGGAAATCTCAGGTGGGTTCTCTCTCTGATAACGGGAAATCTCAGGTGGGTTCTCTATCTGATAAGGAATAATTTCGGGTTGTTTCTCTCTAGACCTGCCCAAGAAATCTCCGCTGTTCTCTGTCTACGTTAACTTTACTGACAAGCCATTTCCAGTCCGCCCCAAAAAACCGATAGATTCACGGACCTGCTGGGAAATCAATTACCCGGCCGGAAAATAAAGAACCGGCTGGGAATACCAGGAAGAAACCAAGGGACTCGCCGGGAATTCAGGGGAAATCTAGGGGACCTAACAGAGAAGAAACCAGGAACGGTTTGTTGGGAGAGAGAATACCAGAAACTAGCGAGACTATAAACCAGGATTCCTCTGCAAAAACTAGGAATCATCTGAGGAAACCCTTACAACTCTTCGGCTGAAAACTAGGAATAGTGGAGAAACGCCAAAGAAGCCCCATAAAAACCCACTTCTATTGAGAAGTTGAGAACCCATCTGGTGATAAAACCAGAATCCTTGGGAGAAACGCCAAATGGAAAACAGGGCCGAGTTGGAGGGAAAAGTCATTAATCCTTCACAAAAAACAGGGCTTAGTTGATGAAAAAACCAGGTTTGGCATGAAAACCGCCAAAACGAAGAAAGGGAACCCAGTTTGTTAAGACTTACCTGAGAAAGCCTGAAAACTACCAAAATCTCAGTGACCCACCATAAAAACCAGCACCCAGATGATTAAAAGACCAGAGGAACCTGTCCGAAAATCCCAGAAACACCTGAAAACCCAATCTCTGGCCATAAAATCCGTGAGTCAACATTAGAAAAGCAGGGACCACCATAAAAGCCAGGACCCAATCAATAGGAAACGAATTAAAACCAGGACCCAACAATAGAAAAACCAGGGACCACTGTAAAATATCCGGACACCAGTCGATAGAAAACCAGGTAGTAGCTGGAAATGCACAGGAGAACCACCAAAAAATCAACCGGAAAACTGAGGGAATGGCCAGGCAACCATCATTGACATCAAAATGAAAGACGAGGATGGAAACAACAACAATTGGTTCTCTCGGTGGGAGGACGACCTCCCCCCCCCTGAAGAACTCATGCCCCTCTCTCAATCCCTCATAACCCCTGACCTCGCTCAGGCCTTCCAAATCCATAAGCTGCCCGATCCCCCTGGCCCCCTGCCTGAGCTTTCTGAGCTGCCCGAGCACCCTGTCCAGTTGCCCGAACCATCCTCTCCTCCCGAGCTGCTAAGCTCCGACGAGCCTGCCCGAACTCTTAAGAGGCCCCGACTTGTTTGGACTCCCCAACTTCATAAACGATTTGTCGATGCGGTTGCGCACTTGGGTATCAAAAACGCAGTGCCAAAAACTATAATGCAGCTTATGAATGTTGATGGGTTGACTAGAGAGAATGTGGCTAGTCATTTGCAAAAGTATAGGCTCTATCTTAAGAGAATGCAGGGGCTTTCACCAGAGGCTCAAGGGCAAGGTACCCATGACCACCTTTTCAGCCAGGCAGGGCACCATCACCACCATGGGTTAGTGCACCATAGGGGAGCAGAGGATGTGTTTTCAGGGCAAGTCGGGTTAACGACCATACATAATGCCCATCATCAATTTCACCACCATCATCAGAGTCCGTATCAGAGTCAGGGCCATCATCATCAGCAGCATCATATTGCCAGTGGGGGCGTGGGGTTCTTTGATCATAGATTTTTGGGTAGGCCGCAGCATCATCAAGGAATGGTGGGGGGAAGGGTGGGGGTGGGGCCAGGAGGGGTATTGGGGCCGGCGACAGCAGCAGCAGGGATTGGGGGAGGGGTGGTGCAGGTAGAGGATGTGGAGGGCTCGTCGCCCCCACGCAAGGTGCTCACGCTCTTCCCGACCGCAGATGATTGATTGCTCTCTTTCTCTCTCTCCCTCCCCCCTCCCCCTGTGTCTACCTCTATCTATTTCTCTCCTCCTCTCTTTTTATTGTGTGGGCATGGTGGCATGGGAGGATTTGGGGCATCATATCTCCCATGGATTGTGTTGTCCTTTCACTGCTAATAATCTCTCTCTCTCTCTCTCTCTCTCTCTCTCTCCTTGTGTATGTTAAATTGCGGATGTGTTCGGGCAATAGGGAA